TAATATGTGAAAAATTTATTTTTTTCCCGTTACATCTCTAAATATAACAATAATTATTTTTGTGGCATTTTTAAGCTTGTTCATTTTACTTTATTAAAAGTTTTAAAATTGTTAAATATAACTTTTTCAACTTTTTGTTATATTTTTTAAAGAATTTTAAAACGTTATTTTTAAATTATTAAACACGAATGTTAATTTATCAAAAAAGCGGAATTTTGATGATATATTATAGGTATGAAGTAATAAAATTAAATCAGTTAAACAAATAAATGTTAACACAGCTAATTCAACTAACTGTCGAGAACATAAGCAGATCACATTAAAAGATAACCCAAAAAACAACGGCTGCATAACGTTACCCAACAGGTGATTAAATTAAATCTTGAAGCTCAAAAAACCTGTTAAAAAGTTGCTTGTCCCATTGACTTATATCGCCTTCTCCGTGTGGTAAATCTGTATCTGGGCAAAAATACACACAAGCCGTTCCGCAAAAACAGTTAGCTCATAAATAAATCTTACATACTGAGTCAGAGTCATTCCGATCGGATTTTTTGGGTTAACTAAATGCATTGTGTAACGGGTTTTGGGCCACGATACCGTGGAATTTAGCGTATGTGATGCTCGGTTATCGTATAACCCGTTTCGATGGTACCATAGGTCCATAGATGGTACCCACGCACCGCGCACATTGGTTTTAATTTCTGTCATATTATTTGAGCGTTTTTAAAAATGGCCTTTAACAATGTTTGGGCATTTTTTTGTTGATATGTATTTTTTAGAGATCCAGGAAATAATTATTTTTTAAATTAACCGCTGACACTGGTTTTGATATACAATAGCACACCTTAAAATTACAATTGAATCGGTGTATGCAGAAACCACACATGTCCATTTTTTACCAAAATGAGTTTATGTCAAAAATTACATCTAAATAGGTAAATACCTCGTACTATGCAAAAACATTTCATGTCCCAATGTTCAGTTTATAATAAACCCCAACATATCATACAGATGCTACGCAGAAACGACATACGTCTGGACATGTTAATTAATTAATTAATTTTCCCAAAAGTTGGTATTTCGCACATGTGTTGTTTCTGCATACACCGATTCAATTGTTATTGAAACTTTTTGAGACCAATGAATATAATACAATATTTTAAGCCTAGTGTAGAAGAACAAAACATTACATTATTGGGGTGCTTATAAATCTACTACTTTTTTTTACTTCTTATGCTCTTTATTATTATTATTATTATAGTAGTCCTTATCTTTAAAAATTAATATAAAGCTAAGCCCCAATACATATTCGATAGGGAATGCTCTTCAAAATGGTATCTTATGTTTTTTTGCAAACCTAGTTATTAAAAAAAAAATTTAAAATTTAAATTTTTTTAAATTTTTTATAACCCGCAGAATAGTTAGGATTTTAAAATAAATAGTAAGTATTTTTGTTAAAAATTATGTGATCTACGAAAAAGGCCTTTCAAAATTAATCGCAACTAAAGTTTACCTTTTTTTAACTGCCGAGAAAAATATTATTTTTACACCTAAAATTTTCAAAACTCTTTATAAATTTGTGTTATTACTATTTCAGTAAAAAAAGTGACAAAAATGCATTTTAATCTTAATTTTTAAAAAAACTACCTATTTATATTTGATAATAATAATTTAGTTTGGTGAGGTAGATTGTAAAATTTTAAAATTTGGTTCATTTCTGTTAAAAATAAGAATTTAGTGAAATAGGTAAAATTTAACTAGTTTAGGTAGTAAAATGTAAAAATGAGGTCCATTTCTCTTGAAAATGAAAACTTAGGTATAATAGGTAAAATAAAATCATGCTCAAATGAAATAATTTTCTTCAAAACGGATTTTATTCCATTGCACCTAAAGTTATGATTAGCGTAGACATATAGGTAATATCACTAAAATTCCATCTCTAATAAAATACTATTTTCTGTAATTTCAAAAATTTGTATTTTGCTCATAAAAATCGTTAATTTTTTTTTCAAAAGTTATTAAATGTACCTAATAGTATATTATGTATCAAGTTTGATAAACGCCATTTTATACACGAATTTAATTTAGGCACGAGCGAGTGCTTAAGTTAATGAGTGTATATAAAAGTTTATAAACGAGGTGCATACTATACTTTTTCTACGACAAATACTTATTATTATCTTAAAATGATTTAAATCAAAAATTTGTATAGAGCGCCATCTATGAAAAAACAGGGGAAACTGTCAAATGTCACATTTTTACATTTTATAAACACAATTATAAAGGTTATAAATCGAAATATATCTTTGACAGTTTTTCACAGTAAAATCATTGAGTAAAGACTTTACTCAATGGTAAAATAAAGGAAATGTTTTATGAGGACTTTACAGTAGAGTCCGTGCCAGAATTAAAGTTATAGTTTACTGCCGGCGAAATTAAAAGGTCAGTCAAATATTGGCGTTGAGAAACTATTTAAAATTTTTGTATTTTTGTATTGAGATAATAAAATAATTTTCACATTTAGTATTATTTTACAAGAAAGGCACTTTATTTTAAAGATTGTATAACATTTGACAACTGTTAACTAACTTCAGCCCGTGACTAAAGCGCCGTAAAGCCACAACTTGTCAATGTGTCATGGAAACATGTACGATAAAGGGCGTTTTAAAGGTGGGAGTAGAAAAACATTTTTATAATAATAATATTTATAAAATAATCAAATCCTATTTTTTGTTATAGATACATTTAAAAAAAAATAATACTTTTTTAATTAAATACTTTTTGCAGCCTAAATTTAACACTTGACTAACTTTACTAAAATTCAATGGGATAATTAAAAATTATTCTTCTTTCTTACATAATACGTATTCAAAAAACAATTTGCTACCGCGTTTGCTTAGCATTAAACATCACTTTTTATTTATACATTAATAACACATCATTTATTTGAGAACTTAATCATTATCTGATAGACTCTTTCGTAGATTATTGTTTGTAGCCATCGCCCGCGGCAAACTTTTTTGCTATACAAAATTATACATTTTAATTAAGTATAAAATAAACTTTTTAACAATTTATTTGTTTTACTTCTTACTATCGACCAACACCTAACACTAAAGTCAGTAAACTTTAATTTCTTCAAGTTCAATGTAGCTGAAACTTATTACAGTTGCCCTTGAAAAAACTACATAAATTATTTCATTAAACTGCACGTTTATGTAGCAAATTTAAATTTTATTTTGCTTTTAATTACCTTATTATCATCATACATGCTTATAATTTTTTAACAGGTTTTTTTATCTTTTAAAAGCTTTTTTCTAGAGGAAATAGAGTAGCTATTATGTCTAAAATAAGTTTGTTATTAAATATAAAAGAACACTGAATAGCCATTTATTTGTCATTATTTTTCTTAGTTTGATGTTCATTGCTTAAAACATTTTCAGCAATTAATTATAATTATCGATTGTTGTACCATGAGTAAATTTAATGGGTATAATTTTTTGTTTGACAGTCATTATTTTTCAACAAAAGAGGTCGTTCCAATGATGCTTGTGCAATTTTTGTATAATAAATTAAGATGACTTTTAAATATAAGCGTATCAAGTCCACCTTATTATTAATATGATCGATGGTAAGGCATATTTTGCCGTATTCAATATTAAATATAATTAGTATCGCATTCTATAGAATTTGCCTGTCGTCAATTTTGATAAGCAGTTAATTTTTTTTATTACAAAATGTGTTTTGGACATTTTTAGTTTAACCCAACATCATTTTTGCATTTTTTTGCGTTTTTTTAATTGACTATAATGCCTAAATGCTTGCCTAAAATAGGAAACATATTAGTACATTTATTTTTCTCGCAGAAACACCGCAGCGCCGATCATTGCTCCGTTCACAATACCATGATCAGACGACAACTTAATAAAATAAAATGTCAAACAAATAATTTTTTGCCAATAAAGTAAAAAAAACCATAAAAAATTAAATGCCTATTTATAAGAGGAAATTTTAAAAAATGTAATTGCCTAAAAGTCCGGTCTCTAATAATTAGCACCTATATAACTTACCATAGGTTACTTTGCCAATAGAAAAAGTTTTATTGTTTCAAAAATAATTTATTTTTCAGTTTTCAAAAATTGCTTAGTTACTATTGAAACTTAATTATTTTTCATGGCATTATAAAATATATTTTAATTTGTTTTTAACTAAAACTATCAAGAACATTTGACCAATAATTTAATTTTACCTTTTCTATATGAAAATTGTAGTATTGAGGTACAATTTATAAATATTTTCAATATTCTATTTTTTTTCTGTGGTCCAATAGGAAAACTGATTTTTTATATAAATTTTGAATCCTTTAAATATTTTTAATGTAATTAAACTTTATTTATATTCTGACCACAAACATACCTATCATAACAAAGTTATTTTTATTTTTATATTTTTAGTGTCTTGAATTTAAAATTTTTAATTAAATTTAATGTAAATATATATTTTTATGTTTTATATATAAATTATTAAATTTTTTTTTATATCTTGAATTATATATTATATAAATTTAGTTTTTACTATTTTTAATTCTTTATTGTTTATTTTTGTAAGTATTTTAAAAAAATTCCCATTTTATGGTTCACAATTTCTGGAAAACAAGATAATTTTTTACAATTTTTAGAGCTAGGTTGGCTCGTTTTTAGGATTTTCTATTTCCTGTAAAATTAGGTGTGCCTACTGTTTTAAATTTTTTGTGAAAATTTTGGATTTTATTATTTTTTACTATTTTAAATTATCATTTGGTTTACAAATAAATATAAATTTATTTTAAAGACAAACTTAATTTTAAACCTTTATTGTCCCTATCTTTTTGCGCTACAAATCTTGTAATCTTCCAAACCGATTACGACTTAATACTTTCTTAACTGAAACATTCGCAATAATCCTCGACCTTACGCACATGGTATACACGTATATAAAAGTAGCTTGCACTTGACACCTACCTTGAATAATATAATGCAATAGAAATGTCCTTAAACAGAAAGCAGCAATGGCAATGGCAATAGCAGCAGCAGCAGCAGGCGTTGAACTCTCACAGGTGCCACCACACAACACTAAAGTCACCGTTTCGTAACTCGACGTTCGAGGTTCACTGCCAAGGTACCGCAATTCGAGTGTTTCTAATGCTGAAGAAGAACAAGAACATAGGAGCAGGAAGGTACTGTACTACGCTCTCTCAACACACACCGAAATGAGTCCAGCTCGCAGGTGTCTGGTCTTATAGGGGCCTCCGGTGCGGTTATGCAAGGATGGTCATTGGTTGAGAAGAAGATTCCTCCACTACCATTGGCTTTGCACGCCGCTTTTTACATGCTTACTGAGTCGCCTAAACAGTTAAGTCCACTCGGTGACGATGATGATCATCATCATCATCATCCGAGGACTCTTCTTGGATACGACATCGTGATTTCGTGTACCTTACCGGTACTTCGAAGTTTTCTTCTTCTCGTTGTCGCCGTCTAAGTCTTCTATAACCGTCATGGACAGCGGATAATACACGTCTTATTTAATTATAACCGTGTGCATTGTTTGAGCAGTTCTTTCGTTTATGACAATTTAATTTTACCTTTGCAATGAGTCCTGTGCTATTATTTTATTTTGTTTTGCTAACATGTGGGTAACAAAGTTTTATAGTCCAGAAAACTTGTTATAAGTAGTACTGTGTTTTAACAATATTTTACTTTAGTACTGAAGTACTTAAGTAACTAAAATTTGTTTGAAGCTAGCTAGGATAGTAATGATATCACGTGGTTATCTAAGGTTTAAATTTTAACAATAAATGTTAGACCTGAAAGAAATTTAGTGTGATAAGTAACAATGGAATTAACAGTTAAAAAGGAAAATAAACATAACAAATGTTACCTGGTATGTTAAGTTATTCAGTATTGCATTGATACTTCCATTTATTATGGAATTGACTATATCTCAAAAACTGCTTCACTTTCATAATTTTCGGATTCAGGGGACAATTTTATATAAGAACTAATTGTTAAATTTTGGGATACCATGGTACAAGTGAAAAAGCAGCCACTAATAACTGTTAAATTAGTCATTTTTGACTAATTTTTAGAGAGTATGCTGTGATACAACTTTTGAAAGGGCATATCATTTTCTTTAAAATTCGTTTTTTAAATTTGAGCTACGTGTCGCTGAGCAATTGAATTCCGAACATTTTACTGGACCGCTTATTTCCAAATTTCGTTAAGCAAAACATTTCGTTAAAAAAATTGTTTTTAAACTAAAAAATATCAGTCAATAAATCGACTTTATCTTTATTGAAGTAGTTGATGTGGATAATTTTTTTATTTTTATGTTATTATTAAGTACCAGAAAACTTTTTGATGTAACGAATTTCGCGGGATACCGTACAGAAAATTCTAAAACATAATAAATGACACCTATATAAAATTCAACTTCTTCAAAAATTGCAATAAGATGATAATGACCGCAGTTTATATATTTGTAAAATAATGTCCGAAATGATTATAAATACTCCCAGCTTCCTTTTTAATATACAAGGTATCCCTAAACTTAGTAGCATAAATTTAGGAGCAGATTAAGCAAGTCAAAATAAGACAAAAATCTAAATAAATATTTTTCCTAATTACGTATGTTTAAAAGATACATGGTGATAAACTGTTACTTATCTTATCAGTTTTTTTAATATAACCTCTACTATGGTAGTCTTGGAAAGGTGATATTTTGCAAACAGTCACTTACCACCAAAACACATATTCACACATAATTGTAATTGTTTGAGTGAACCCAGTGTCGTAGAAACGGGGGTTGCTTTAAGCTTATTGTCCCATACAAACTTTGAGGTTAGGTTTTTATAACATTTGATGCAATTTTTAGATTACACAGCGGCTACCCTTAAAATGGTGTACCTCTCAAATTTCGATATAATAAACCGTTTCCGAGATATTCGAATTTACAATAATTGTTATGTCGCATTATTTAAATGGATTAAAAGGTATCCCCAGTAGCACAAAATATTGGTCCTATATGGGGCGCATATAAGCCCAATATTTTATCTGGGACCAATATTGGATTTATTTAGCCGATGTTGGCCCTATATTGGCATAAAATGGTTATTTAATATATCTTGCCAATGTTTATCCAATCTTGGTCCTATATTGGCATATCATTTTACGCCAATATATCATTAAACATATTTATCCAAGATCGGTCCAATATTTGCATATCATTTTAAGCCAATATATCATTAAAAATATTTATCCAAGGTTGGTCCTATATTGGCATATCATTTTACGCCAATATATCATTAAACATATTTATCCAAGGTCGGTCCAATATTGGCATATCATTTTACGCCAATATATCATTAAACATATTTATCCAAGATCGGTCCAATATTGGCATATCATTTTAAGCCAATATATCATTAAAAATATTTATCCAAGGTTGGTCCTATATTGGCATATCATTTTACGCCAATATATCATTAAACATATTTATCCAAGATCGGTCCAATATTGGCATATCATTTTAAGCCAATATATCATTAAAAATATTTATCCAAGGTTGGTCCTATATTGACATATCATTTTACGCCAATATATCATTAAAAATATTTATTCAAGGTTGGCCCTATATTGGCGTAACATGATTATACAATATATCATAGTCGATGTGTGTGCTATGTTGGCCCCATATTGGCGTAAAATGATTATCCAATATATCATTGAAAATGGTTGCCCAAGGTTAATCTAATATTACCCCTACATTATCGTAAAATCATTTTCCAATATATCAATGTCATATATATATACATGATATATACATGTATATATGATAACAAATTTTAAAATTAATTTAAAAAACTAAAAAGAGCATTCCATGAGCCTCTAGACGTTTTGACTTGACCGTCACATTAAAAAAAATGTAGTTTTTTCAATTAAAAAATTTGTTATCATATACCTTCTAGTCCTTTAATGCGATATAACAATTATTGTAATCTCGAATATCTCGGAAACGGTTTATTTTATCGAAGTTTGAGAGGTACACCTTTTTAATAGTAGCCGAACTGAGTAATTGAAAAATTGCATCAAATGGTATAAAAACCTAACCTCAAAGGTTTTATAGGACAATAAGCTTAAGCAACCCCTGTTTCTACGACACTGAGTTCACTCGAATAATTGTAATTATGTGTGAATATTTGTTTTGGTAGTAAGTGACTGTTCGCAAAATATCAGCTTTCCAAGTCTACCACAGTAGAAGTTATATTAAAAAAATTGATATGATAAGTAACACTTTATCACCCTGTATTTAGATTTTCGTCTTATTTTAACTTGCTTAATCTGCTCCTAAATTTATGCCACTAAGTTTAGGGACACCTTGTATTTGTTTTTCAGACGAATGTACATTTTTCTCTATTTCATTGTCAACATTTTCAAGAGTTAATAAGATAATACGAAAGTACTAATCAATAAAATTAAATTAAATTACTCAGCAACCGGCAGCCCAAGTTTAAAAAACGAAGCGCCATTTTAAAGAAAATTGACTACCCTTTCAAAAGATGTATAACAACATACCCCTTCCCATTAAAAAAAAATAATGGGTTGAAGAGGTTACATGAAATTAATGTTTAATTGTGTCCTCCTGAAAGTATTCGTGTCCGATTTTTTTATTTTTACATACAGAAACCTTGCTAGACTGTTTTCAATGGGCCACCCTGTATACTTCAGCATAGCGAAATTACAATATATTTAATTCCCCTTATTCATAAGAGATCTTTACAACTGAAATAAATTTGTTAATTTGTTACAAAATTAAAAAAATTGTGCAATTCCAAACACTTTAAGATTGGTATTTCAGAGATCCGTAAGAATGAACATTATTATTAAATTGTTCAGCAGACAGACATATACAGTACATTTATCCATAAGACAATGCTAGGAAGTAAAGAAAGATGGTATTGTGACAGAATTAATTTTTAATTGTATCCAATTGTTTTGTTACAATGTTACAACGTCTTATTTCTTTAGATGTCAATTCTTTCAATGGTAGCGTTTTTATACTTTATTTTTCCAAAAGAGAACGGTGTAGGTATTGTTTTTTTTTAACCGAAAACGACTTATTTTTGCAATTTGGCTTTAGTTTAAATTTTCAACAGTACATAATATACCGATAATCTTTTTTCAGTTTTCGGTGAATAATAGAGGTATAAAGATCCATACAAACAAACCGTTGTCATATCGAGTTAGAGAAGGATCTTGTAAATAGGAGTTGGTTTAATAAATTTGAAAAAAATATTGAAAAATATTTAAGAAACCTTAACTGCGTCCACTGATGGAATTAACTATACCTGTAAAAATATTTATTTTCAAGACTGATTTTCAAAATTAAAAATTTGGGTCGTAAAGTTTTTTTGCAATAGTTGCGTTGATTTTTTTGAACATTTTTTAAAAGTTCCGAAAGCAAAATTGGGTTAATAGATCGATGTATTGCTAGCTTGAAAGACTTGGTGTATTTGAATGTAAAACATTGTCAAAATTCAATCTTAAATCCCACAAAATGCTATTTGTATGAGTAATTTATTTTTTCTACTCCCACCTTTAAAACGCCCTTTATTGTACATGTTTCCATGACACTAAGTGACCTTTTAAATACATATTGACAAGTTGTGGCTTTATGGAGCTTTAGTCACGGGCTGAAGTTAGCAACAGGTTTTTAGTCACGGGCTGAAGTTTTAAGTTAGTTGACAGATGTAAAATGTCATAGAATCGTTAAATAAAGTGCCTTTCTTGTAAAATAATACTAAATGTGAAAATTATTTTATTATCTCAATACAAAAATACAAAAGTATTAAATAGTTTCTCAACGTCAATATTTGAAAAGTTTATATGAACATTGTACTGACCTTTTAATTTCGCCGGCAGTAAACTATAACTTAAATTCGGGCACGGACTCCACTGTAAAGTGCTCATAAAACATTTTCTTTACTTCTCTGAGAAAAACTGTCAATTTTCAAGAAATACATTTCGTTTTACCTATAACCTTTATAATCTGTGTTTATAAAATATAAAAATTTGACATTTGACGGTGACACACAGATTCCCCTATTGTTTCATAGATGGCGCTCTATAAAAATTTTTGATTTAAATCAATTTTAACATAATGATAAGTATTTGTTAGAAAAAGTATAGTATGTTTATAAACTTTTCTATACACTCCTTAAT